AATAGATCATCGTCGTAGGCAAACCTCATCTATCTTACAAAATCTGACCAAGCCCGGTCTTTAGGAAATATTTACCTATCAAATTTTCACACAGCGCTGTTACTTGTTCATTCTAAATCACCCTAAAACCAAATTTTACGACAGCCAGGAGGTCTTTTATTTTCAATGAGTCTATGACCCTCAAAAATTATAGATGACAAAGGTTAATCGGCCTTAGCTAGTTTAATACGTAGAATTCTTATCAGGGCTACTTTATCAGCTTAAATCGACCATCAATTTCTCCCGTGGCGCGAATTAAGAATAATTTTCAAAAAGACCGGGAGGATAGATAGTGCTTTTCTTTGGTACACAGAAATCTGTGGCACTCGGCCATTGCGACGTTTCTTTTTCGTTGTCGATCTATACAAACATACCGTATAATAGCAACTAACGTTGATACACTGGATTGAGTTGGGTAACAGAGATGGATGATGTGTACGTGGGTGCGGGGATTGGTAATTATGGACAAGAATTTGACATGTGTATATGTGTTGCGCAATTAATCACTCTTCAATCCTATGGTGCTTTTTACTGCATTTACAATATCTTTACCATCCCTAGGCTAATCAAATCTGTTCACAGTGACCTGTTCTTCTAACCTAAAAATCCGGTTTATTTTTTCTAAAATTTATTGTATTATCGAGACTATAACTGTGTAAAAACATGTAGGCTCTCTGTTGTGCTGGTGATGGCTAGGATTACGATGCACGAGGGTAATGATCACTGAGGGTGAAGGAAGAACTTTCCAGGTGGCTCCATGATGAGTAGAGGAACAATGGAGCACTGTATAGAAAGTGTTTCTAGATTGTACTGCCAGATGGAAGAGACTAGAATATTCCGTGGTACTGTTTTGGGTAAATAAAGCGAGAGTCTGGCTACCTCAGATGTGTATATAATTAGCGCTTTAAACTTCCTAAGTCCTCATAGTTCTGAATATCAAATATATCAGCAGTTCACATTGATTCATCGATAATCATCCGTAAACCTTCTGCCAATTAACCTCCGTAAGCTCTTACCTTTACAACACTCTCTTTGTCTACAGGCTGGGAGTATCTCTAATTCGCGTAGTGTAATCCCTCCTTTGCCTCCCTCACGACTTCTTTCCAGCAGTAATACCCCCACAAGTCTTCATTCGGGTACACACTAAGAGAAGCTGTTATCCCGTCATTATCTCCCCTCTCCAGCCAACGAAACGATGTCTATTTGCAGGTATGTAGCTGCACGGAAAAGTCTCAAAAACCACCGGTGCAGGACTCCTATGACGAAGAGGCCGTCCAGCCTTGCGCAGCAGACCTGTGTATACCTAAGAGCGTCTCTCAACCTTCCTAGCCGCTTCCTCCCTCTTCACCTGATTCATGCCGCAGTACAAACCGAGGGTCGTGAAAGGATGTTAGAAAAGTCTTGGTCAAGAGTGACTGTTGTGTAGGAGCTTCGCCTAGCATCCAAAAGTCGTTGTGGGCATGAGGTTATTGAGTAACTCATGTATTTCAGATACCCTCCTGGCTAACAGATTCGGAGGTATAGATTAGTAGGGACGATATTTTTGATGAGTCGAAATCAGCTTTTATTGAGGGCGGAAGGGTTTTTTACTGTGCTTTCATGAGCTTTTTGTTTGCCTGCCGTCGTGTAGCACATGTTGTAGTATAACGAGAGCTTCTCTAACTACCATTGAAGCGTTTGGTACCGCATTGTCTTTCCTCATTTCCAGCATCATTATCGTCGTCGTGGTCGTCTTATGAGTTATTGGAAACGTATCTTTGACGGATGGAGAGATAACTCAGCCCAAAGTTGATCAGGCGTAACTCAACCTCGACTCTGCAGACTCTACAGTTAGAGCTAGAGGTTTGTAGGGGATACAACTGATAGGTGTTGAGTTTCATCCCCCTCCTCACCTTTTTTTTGCATCAGATTTTAATTGCGTATGCAGCTATCTAGCTATGACACAATATCAAAGAAAATTATAGAATAGATGATTCAACGTAAGGGAAGGGCACCCATGCCTCAGATTTCATCTGCAAATACCACTGCGAAGTTATGGTGGCTCTTTCTTCACCCCAATTCAACTCTCATCCGTGAATACCCATCCAGAGGAACATCTCAAAAACCCTGAGCTATCCAGACATGCCTCCATCATCATTCAACTTTTCTACGCGCGAAATATGGTCTGAGGCGTCTCCTTCCCAAGTGTAGTAGGTGCCCAGGCTACTCAAACTATACCAGAGAACACCACTAGAAGGCGGACCACAACACCTTCCATCGTTTGCTTGTTTTTATAGTGTCATTTTCACTCTCGCAAGCAAATTCTTGGCGCGCACAAAGCTCAATTCGTAAAACGCCTTACAAAAATTCGGGATTTCACGCCCTTCAAGGTAATATCCTTCCTTCGCATCATCTTGTGAACTTATCCTGAATACTCTCACGTCCACCCCAAAGAACTGTCTCCCAGATTTGTGCGCCACGCTTTGCTTCCTTCGTCGGGTATAAATATCGGCGTGGGCGTGTATTTGGTGGTCAACTGAGTCCAGAGAAGTTTGAAGAGTGGTATGGTCATTGGTACGAGGATGAGGATGTAATTGGTCGTACTTGTAGGCTTGATGAGACTTAGGTAGGATTCAAACTCGTTAGGAGCGAAAAAACGACGTGGAGGAGTAATTTGAGTCATTGCCTCGTGGGCCAACTTCTTTGATATTGCGAAATTTGACTGAACTTGGCTCTGGGACAATATTTCACTCCCAGGTTCTAGAGGTCACCGCGTACAGTTGTTCAGTCTTGCCCTCCTCCTTCTCGCCTTCTATCTTCACACGACGAGTCATATTATTATTCGTCTTTTTGTCAATCATCAGGCCCTGATTTGATGTCAAATTAATTATTGACCGCCCAGCCATTCAAATCGCTTCAGATAGATAGTTTTGATTTCGTATCTATTCCCAATGTAACTATTAGGATTGCCTCACCCATAGTACTCATTAAGGGTTTCTCCGGCTACCATACGCCTGCACGTTACCATCATTTCGTTGGCTGAAATGAGGTGTAGATGAAAGGCAAAAGTCTCCAAGTTTTTGATCAAATATACTCTTTTGAGAAGTAATGCTATAGTAATTGATGTTTAAGAATGTCTTGGAGATATACTGCTATAAGTAGTGTGCTCAGCTTGTAGGCAGAGGACTTACCTGTCCTTTGTAGTTATAGACTAAAAATATAATTACTTCTAGAAAAGCGCTTATAGGAGTAGCAGAGTCAACTTGATGATTAAATATTGTATTAACATTAATTTCTTATCATGACGCGAACTGAGTAGATGTTCCCGTGGTCTTAAATTGGCTGTCTTATTTTTTTCGATGTGGCGTTGGTGGACCACTACATCTAAGCGGAATATAGTGACGTCACCGTGACTCAAGTAAGGGACGCCTTGTGATTCTACGGCCCATACGTCTGATCTAGTCGTTCAATTGCATTTTACGTGAGAACAGATCACGATATTTGTGATTCTATTTTTGGCCGAAATCGTACAATTGTTGCCCCTCTATCATTGGAGCCACATCAATTCATCCTTGATGTACGTATGTTGTATCAGAGATTGGATACTAGGCATTTAATGTTTATTTTCACAGTACAGTTATCCATCCCTGAGGTTGTTTCAGCGAATCCGTCATAACGGCAACAGATTGATCCCGACAAGAAAAGCTAGCCGACGAAATCTTTAGGCACTCCACAGATCATTTCACAAAACAATTAGTTTGTTTCATGGAAGTAATTGCCGACGGTAGTCACCCAGCATGTAGCCGTCTCTCGATGCCTCCTATCACAACCGCAATCAGGAAGATTTCCTCTGTCGATCGATTACTAGCAAGTCTTCCGTACATGGAGCTTCATTATCCAGGTCGGAGCTTTAAGATAGTATGGCCAGCTAACGTTTCAGAGCCAATCCCCGATTATCTTAACGCGTCCATCCGAAGTTTGGTCCGAATCATGGGAACTTATCACCCTTCACGCGGGGAGATGGCGAAAAACATATTATAGGTGATCCAAGAGGTTTTAATATCCTTTTATCGAAGCCCAACATAAACTACGTCATTGGACGTCCAGAAAAAAGTGCTATATAGGGTAGTGATCTACATGACAAGATCATAAAATTGAACATGGCTACAAAACTGCATCCTACTGGTCTTAGTCTGATTGACAGAGATTTTCGAGAGGCGACAAAAGAATTGGAAGCGATTCGTTGCCCTCACGGACAATCTTCTCAAAATTCGATTGCGAGAAACAATTGTCAACTTTCTCGTGGGAGCTCGTTTTCCAGAACTGCATTATGCGGACACAGGCACATGATTTCTATTAACCGAAGAGATACACAAGGCTAGCACCAGAGTAGGCGCCTCAAGTAGGATGATCGTCGAGTTGTCAGACCCAGGCAGGCATATTCATAAATAACAGGGCATAGCCCTGCAAACACGAAAATAAGCCGCCTAGCCACTCGCTATTGCCACCAAAGGAGACTGGGAGTATGGGACTATTGGAATGCATCTCACAGACCCCTGAGGACTTATATTTCGCTAGATCGACCTACATTTTGTTACAATTTTATGCATCAGTTTCGAAACCATGACATTGGCCAGGCATTAAAGCTTGGGCACTAAGCAGATCTTTTGAGCACCCCCTTCACCCTTGACTGCAAGCGCTAAGGTGACAGCTATGTCTATTTGTATCACAATTTTTGGCACAGATCAGAATCCACAAGACAAATTACTGGGGTCTCGATAAAAACAAACGCGCGCGGGTGGTGAACTAAATCAAAAGTACTAATATAGCTGTCATTCCGAACGTGCATGATCAGGATAACTACTCTTTCAGATTAGCATCACATATATATATTCCGGCACACGAGCAATAACCATCTAAACTAAGGCCTGTTCAGTGCGACTTTTGTCAAAAAAGATTTGAGTTATTCGATTTTTATCAGCATGGAAGGAGGACCTATCGCACAAACAGAAAATGGTCAACCATACGTTTCTCCATCGACAAACCCAGGCGCGCCTCCAACATCTCCTGATTCTATAATATCTGCAGCTTGGCTGCCTCAAGCCGAAAATGCAGCTGTAAACGGACCCGTCTCAGTATTGGAAGCCACCTCATGGTCAACCCAGGTCGTTACTGCGACAGACGTATACATATTGGTTTCAACCTCGATTCTCACCACTACTTCAACCTCTGTCGCCATATCAACTACTATCCTCAACGAGATAGCCACTTCTATCACAACTGTAACTAATTCAGAACAACCAACAATATCTTCATCGACCGAAACGTCACTAGTGTCAAGCACCTCGGCAGCCTCATCACAAAATAGTTCTTCCCCAGAAAGTACACTCAGTAGCTCAGCTGAAGTAACATCATCGTCCTCCACTAATCTGGCTGGGGGGAGCTCAACATTCATAACAAGCACCCGTCCTGTAAGTTTAACCCTACCGATTTCAGCACACACTAATAGGAGCGATAGCCTGTATTTCTTTCCATTCCTACTAGCTCGAATTCCATGATGCCCGATCATACTTCGCTATCGATGACTACTGGCAACAATTCGCATGATCACCTTGCTAAGTTAATGGGGGGTATGGTAGCCGGTATATTCGGGATCGCAGCGATACTAGCACTTGGTCTACTATTTTTCAGAAGAAGGGCGCAACGTCTTTCTGAAAGCCAGGCTAACGTTGGTAAGTTCTATCCACGTACCGACCATATTGGCAATGAATCACGCTTAATTGGTAAATTTACACGGATGAAAAGTATTGACTTAATGTAGTAAAAAAACAGGAGCAGCCTCTTATGAAACCTCCCATTGTTCCTTACTCCAACACCTACGGGAGCGAGTTATAGAACCAAAAGCTTATCGAATGAGACATTACCCAGGAACAATCCTTCACTGACCGGACTATCCAAGATACCTTCCAACGAGGACAACGAATTGATTCTATTAAACATCCGGAAAAATATAACTCAATAAGTTCAAACTGTCTACTCTTCACATAACTGCTTTCAGGACCTCATAACAACCAGTTAGCAGCTTAAGGTAATAAGCTGTTCATGATAGAAAATTTTCGAAATAGCCCAAAATCTCGCGCCCTTATGAATATCAGTATGCTTAGCGAGTTTGATTAACTAAATTCTTTACTACTTGCACACGAATTTTCCTAGAGAACATGTAATTGTGCCGGCAACAACACGGCAGTAAGGCGTTGGGAGGTTGGGACAAATAGCATATAATTTAATGCTACAGCGGGACTTTATAGAACGTATAATTATTAATGACAGACCATGTACAACTAATATAAAAATTGTGTGTTTACATGATCAATTAAATTCATCTGGTAATCCTGACAGATTGTAGAAAAATGGGCTACGGAAACAATGCACTGCCACCACCCAAGATACAAGTCCTGAATGTGATTGTTATCATAGTGGAATGATATTCGTCAAGATCGTATAGGTAGCCAATGAGAAGCCATGTCACTAGACCTAATGCCACCCTGTACCCAGTGACTAGCCCAGCGGAACACGGACCCAAGACGGATAGCCTTTGAGAGTCCTAGCGATGAGGCTTATAGCGGTACATTAGCAGTGCCGTAGGAGCTAAACTTGCAGCACGTGGCTATTTGTCTCGGTAACTGCTCGTAAGTCAGTTATTCATGCAAGGAGCCTCCAATCATGAAGAGCAGCAGGCTACAAATGTTAAATTGTATAGCCGACTGAGACGGCTTACTACAGAACACCGGCGGTGTTATATGATAATTCTAGGCGCTACAGGCAATCATCAGTAGGTACAGGCAGGCATACCCTAGTCGTCTTTACTAGTCGGTTGACTTCAAGGTGAGCTGTAGGCCAGGTTCTACAGTGCCTCTAGGTTCCAAAAGGTAAAACTTCAAACTGGGTCGTTGAAGGGATTAGCCCTGTAGGTGCAGTTGGGCTAGCTCGTAATAGGTTAGTATGTCTCTCCTCCTTACCCCGCTCGCCATGAAGTATGGTCCAATCGTCTTCTTCTAATAATCGCTTAGAAAAACACATTTTCAACGACATTTTTGGCTGCCAAGCCTGCACAATAACTGAAACTTCTCACCACTATCGATTCATCCTCCATTCTAGCAAAAAATGTCTCTCCAAAAATCTGCTTCATAAACTAAAGTTCGCAAGCATCTAACTCGCGATCAATGTATAGAAATAAGAGCAATAAGAAGACTTGGCTTGACACTTCAAAATATATCCGACAAACTTGGCTTCACAGTAAGGCAAGTACAACTTGCGTGTGCTCGAGAGACTGAGAATCCTATGTCTCGCAAAGGACCCTTACCAAAATTAAGCGCAGAACAAGTTGATGACCTTGAAGCATTCGTCCGGGAGTCACCTGAAAATCGGCAGATGTGCTATTTGGAACTAGCCATGGGGCCCTTCAGCCACTGGGGATGCAGTGAACGTCTAATTTCTAATGCACTCAAAAAAAGAGGCTACAGCAGATGCATTGCTCGGAAGAAGCCTCCGTTAAGCGCAGTGAACAAACAGAAAAGATTGGAGTTCGCCCAATTACATTTAGATTGGAGCGATGAACAGTGGAGTCGCATACTGTGGACTGATGAAACCTGGGTTTCGGGTGATTGTCATATGAAACCTCGTGTCACAAGAAAAGTACGTTTAAATTCTATCTAAATCTTCCTTTTACTAACAGCAGAGTTTAGCCTGATGATGAGTTTGATGAGACTTGTATTATGGCTCGCCATGCTCATGGGAACATCTGGATGTTTTGGGGATCATTTTATGGATCACAAAAAGGCCCATTCCTAGTCTGGGAGAAGGATTGGGGATCAATGAGGGCCTCATCCTTTTGTGAAAGGATTTTGCCAATTTTGAATCAATTTCACTCGGAAAATCCAGAAATTTTATACATGCACGACAACGCACCATGTCACAAAGCGTACTCAACAATTGAGGCGCTGCGTGAGGTGGAATAACGCCTATTAGATGGCCACCTTACTCTCCGGGCCTGAACCCGATTGAGTCATTGTGGAATATCTTGAAAAACCACATTCAGGTAAATAGTCCAGAGAAAAATGGGGTCAGGCTTGTGCGCTCTGCCACGTTGAAGACATTGCTTCAGGATGCATGGGACTCTATATCTTCAGAGGAGCTATTGTCACTAGTTGGCAGCATGCACGAAAGATGTGTAGCAGTGATAAAGGCAAATGGAGGGTACACAAAGTATTAGGATGGAGAAGGCACACAAAACATGTACTACGCTTTCATTTTAGTTGCGAGCCACACTGAGGGCTTTGATGTAGACTTTTTTAATACAGAGCAATAATTTTTGAAATAGATGTGCATTTTTAGAGACTATCGACTGACGTTTTTCAATTTTGAATTTCAACTGAGGACTATTGTACCTTTCCCATTGAGTTCAAAACCATCCCCATAATTTAGACTTTCACGGAATGTCATTGGATAGTGCCCCTTGCTTGCATAACTAGTCGAATAACTAGACATGGGCCTGCATGAAGATCATACCAAATAAGGCAAAATGTACAGGGATCTAACCCCAGTCATTTTGACAATTTTACCTTTGTCACCCGTAAGAGACTGTACGTCGTACGTTATTCCTTCTCCGATACGCACCCTACGCGCATCTAGTTGATTGGGAATGGTAGCATGGGAAAAGGTCCAAATGTTTGTCAGGCCATTGTGCTAGTAAAGCATGCCTTGTAATCTTCTGAAGTACGTAGGACTTAAAAGTTAGCCCTAGGCGGAGTCGGGGCATGGATGAGCGGAGCCAATTTGGAGTGGTACCCTGGTGCTATGAGATCCCATATCGACATGATTTGAGTTCCGTTTACTCCCGGTTTTTCGTCGAGAGTCATGCCCGATTGGTCACCTGGTTTGGAAACCTCGGGATGCAGTTGTAGTTCCTATGGCCATGTCACCGAGAAAATGCGCTCCTTTGAAGTCTAGGTTGAGCAGATTGGCTGCGAGCAAAGGCAGCTTCTCAACTACAAGTAGTCTTATTCATTTCTGGCTAGTAAGGCGCAATTATGCCATCAATGCCTCAAAAAGCCGGAAACTTCAAATTCCCTCGACGTACACTTTCAAGCCATGTCAATAGTCTAGTTTCGTGCGTCTGTTGGCCCCCATCGGCCTACGCGTGCTCACGAATCGGCATGCCACATCAGGTGCAGCAGTGGTAAAGACTAGTATTTGGGGTAGACTGATGGTCGAAGGTCGGGCCAGCAATAGCAGCACCCGCTCACTTGCAAGCGCGCATATGGGAGATGCGCACGATTGAAACGATGCAGAGGCCGGACGAAGAAGAGATTGCGCGCGAGTGGTATGAGAGGCAAGTCAAGTCAAATGCGCGTCTCCGAGGAAGGGGCTTTGGGATGGAGGCCGATGGGTCTATCGCTCGACGAGAGCGACACATCCACTTGGTGAAACACGGCGGTCGGACGAGTTTGTCTCGTGGAACTCGGTGAGCAGAATGCAATAGACCTGCCAGGGCCGACGCTGTGACGAGCAGTCATGGTGGCTCGCTGAGGCCACGATGTTGCGGATGGCATTCAGACGGGGCGCGCTCGCTGGCCCACGTCGTCGGCGATGCGCTCAGACTCGTCTCTCCTGATGGCCACAGTAGGGCCTGGCCACGGTACGAATGATCAAGCAAATTACGATGATCATGAAGCCCGCAAGGGTCTCGGGAAAATGCGGGATCGCTCGCGCGCTCGCTCATTCGGATCCCGGGGAGTGTGTTTGTCTTGAAGTCGGCCGATCTGCAATCCATGGCACCAGGGCACGAGCCGCCTGAAATTACGTGGCAAGACTTCCATATCAACTATTCGATTGTTCGTCCCTTTACCAGACAACTACTCTTCCTTCTTTCCCCATCCGTCTCCGGAGAACATCCTAGCCGTCCGGCCCTTCGTCCATGCTTCCGACAACAGTCCAACCAATATTCATTACCCGAATTGCCGAGCAGTCCTCTCCGTCACGAAGGTTCATGGCCAAGATTGATCAAACATTACCGCCGAGTCTATAGCGCCCGGCCGGACGCTTTCCCCAAGCGTTTCGGAAAAAAGCCATTTCTGGGTACCCCGTCCTGATGTCGATATCAAGGGAGGCCCGAACCTAGTAGCTTTCGCGCCGTTGAAGGGGGATAGTGGAGGATATTTGCCGACGCGATATGGCCTCGAACAAGAAGTAACACCACCTACAGATTACACCCGTGGACCGACACAATTTTTCTTCCCCCCACGTCGCGAGTCCGGTCAAGCTCTACTCTGACATACGCCGAGACTTCTGTCCAGTCAGCTAGCATATCGCGACGGCAATAATGCAGATTGCAAGTAGGATCAAAAAGTGGAGATGAGTATGGGATACCAAGGTAGACTGTTGAAGGTAGAAAATAGAAGTGACTCTACAGGCTGTACACTCTACTCTCAAGTTTAGGTGGCGCTGTATGCAAAGGGCTCCAAGATATCAGCCGCATTGGTGGGTTACGACCCCTATATTTACTCGAAAATCGATCAATTGACGAAACCTTCCAAGATCTAGGAGCAGTAAATTGCGAATATGGTTCTATCTAGTCTATTATACATCATGACGTGTAGGGTTTTCTACCTATAAGCCGGCAGTATCTATACCTCCTTCACGACATTTTTCCAGCAGTGCCATCTCACAGGCTCTCGTTTGAGCATAGACTAGGGGAGCTGATATTTCGTCATCATCTCGCCTCTTGTCAACGTTATGATGACCATTTGCGGCTATGTAGCTGCAGGGAATAGTCTCAGAAACCACTGGCTGCAGGCTCTCCCGCTACCATAATCAGGTCTAAATCTGAAGACATAGCTATCCTTCTGAAGCGTTCAACGAGGCCAGCCAGCCAGTTGCAGCAGAC